CTTTCTAATAAGTGCGGCCGTTGTGATCCGCTGTGATAGCGACGGTTATTTTTGTGGTGGTAGGGTTTTTTCCTTGAGGGGTTTTGACCGGACGCCAGGTTTCCCCTCCATATATTACCATGTGGGTATTTTCTGATGTATCCAGGGGCGTTCTTGCCCAATTGATGGTTAGTCACTTGCGTGAAGAACCAGGGAGGGTGTTCGTGGGTCTGTGAACATTGCTGTTGGATACATGTGCTGGATGATTTTGTGTCACGCAGACTGGTAAGATAACCGTTTGATAGGGGGCACCGCGATGATTCACGGGGCCNTGTGAACATTGTTGTTGGATACATGTGCTGGATGATTTTGTGTCACGCAGACTAGTAAGATAACCGTGTGATAGGGGGCACGGCGATGATTCACGGGACCCCTCCTTGCTGTGGGAGCCGCTCTTTGAGCACTCCCTCTTTCGTCCGTGTGAAGGACGGTCGTCTACCTCCCGTGAAGTTAATACATCACCAAAACAGTCTCACCCGAAAAATAAGTGGCGTCGGCCGCAAACATGCTCCACGCGCCGGAGCTTCTCCCCGTCCTCATCGGCAACACGCGTCCTTCGGCGAACGCTGCGAACGCGGAGGATGTGGCCGCGTGGGACAAGGCCAACGGTCGCCTGTTCTCCCTCCTAAGGTGCTGGGGGATGAAGTGTCGAACCCAGTCTACCTGGACATAATGCTCTCAGGCCTGACCAAGGCCCCGGAGTTCAAGTTCATCAGGGAGATGCACTACCGTGACAATTTTACTTCAGTAGACAGTCTCCAGGCGACGGCTACCCGCTTTTTTGTGGATCAGCAGTCGCGCAACGCGTCGGGCCCCGTGGTCTCGGGCCGAGGGGCTGCGATGGCGGTCGCGTCCGACACCGACCAGTGCCGCCGATGCAAGGCGTACGGACACTTTCAGCGCTATTGTCCCCAACAGGGCCAAAAGAGCCGTCATGAGCAGAGCACAAAAAGGGAGCAAACAAGCGAGGAAATGGTGGGAGTGTACAGCCAAAGTGGTGCTCCTACCATATCGCCAAGACACACAGCGATGCTGAGTGCCAGAAGCAAAAGGAGATCCAGGAAAACAAGCAAAATGAGCTTGAAGGGTTTGCAGCGAACCTGGCGCTCCTGCAGTCAGCTAGCCATGCCAACTTTCTGCAACTCTCCAATAACGGGAGTGCTCACGTGGCGCAATCTTCTCCGGCGGTGGCGCAACAGGCTCCGTCAGAGCCGACTTCGTTCGGGTTCTCCTTCAACGCCCTCGGAACTTCCTTGGCAGAGGCAACCTCGTCGTCTGCCTCTTCCCAGCCAGCTCCGAACGCGTCTGCCGCCACACAGGCGGCACCGGCATCTGCCTCACCAACGTCGAGTGCGCAGGACCACCGATTGCCTTCAGGGTTCTTCGGTGCATTCATGGCGACTCATGCAGAGTTGTCGCTTGCTCCTTTTCGCTCCGACGTATCGTCCATCCAGATGGTTGTGGACAGTGGAGCGACCGACAACTACCTCGACCCTGGGCTTACACCAGGATTGCGGGCTCACATGCGCGACGTCGAACGCCTTCGGGTCCCACACACGATCGTCGCCGCGGGCCAGCATGTCCTCAAAGGCGTTGCGACGGGGACTATCTTCGGGGCCGTCACGGACGACAATGGGAACGACCGGCACGTCTCCTTTCGCGGCATCTTGGTACCAGGGCTGGGCACCAACCTCTTCTCCGTGACATTGGCAATGCTAAAAGGGGTGGCGACGTTGTTTCATCCGGACAACCCCAGGTTGGAGTCACGGGACGTGGTTTTCCCAATGCAGACCCTCGGGCTGGACGCCACGACCGGAAAACGCATCTACTCCATCGAGGTGAAGCTAGGGGGTGAACCTGGGGGCCCGACGGTACTCGGAGACGCGCCTGATGCCCTCGCCTTGAAGGTGGAGTCCGCTGATCTCTGGTTCCGGCGCATGGGGCACATCAACGGCAAGACCTTGGACGTTCTTAGGAAAGAACCGGTCAACGGCGTCCACTACACCGGAGACGTGAACGACTGTAGTGTCTGCCCGCTCGGAAAGAGCGCACAACAACCTCACCCAAANCCCGACGGTACTCGGAGACGCGCCTGATGCCCTCGCCTTGAAGGTGGAGTCCGCTGATCTCTGGTTCCGGCGCATGGGGCACATCAACGGCAAGACCTTGGACGTTCTTAGGAAAGAACCGGTCAACGGCGTCCACTACACCGGAGACGTGAACGACTGTAGTGTCTGCCCGCTCGGAAAGAGCGCACAACAACCTCACCCAAAGCAGGCCACCTACGGCGTCCTGCGCCCCTTTCAGCACGTTTCCGTCGACACCCTTGGCCCCTTCACCCCTACAGCGTTGGGCGGATTCAAGTACGCCACCAAGTTCATGGACCAGCAGACCAAGTGGGCGGAGATAGTTCTCATGAAGGACAAGACCTGTTCTGTAGACTCCCTCGCGTTGTTCAACAAAGGGACCGCGGTTCCTACCGGAGAACGCATTCATTGCCTCCGTGGGGATCAGGGCACATAATTCACGAGTGCGGAATTCCGTCAGTACTGTCAAGACATCGGCATCAAGCTGGAGTTCGCCTCTCCGAACACCCCTCAGCAGATTGGAGCCAACGAGCGTGCGGGTCGGACGATTTTGAATGTCGTGCGCTGTCTGCTCGCTGACTCAACTCTACCGAACTTCCTTTGGGGGGAGCTGATCCAGACGGCAGTCTACCTGAGCAACCGGGTTCCTCATGCAGCCCTGCAAAACGGGACGCCGTGCAAGGAGCTCTACGGTAAGGATGCCTACCTTGGTCACTTTCGGGTGATAGGTTGAAGGGCGTTCGTGCACGAAGAGACGCACACCAGGAAGCTGGAGTACCGTGCTTGGGAAGGACGCCTTGTCGGATACAGCATGGGCAGCAAGTCGTACCAGATCTACAACTCTGAGACGCGACGTGTACGGGTGAGTCGAAATGTTGTCTTCATTGAGACACCTCCCGTTGCTCCTGCGTTGGATGAGGGTGGCTTCGACGACGGGGAGTTCACGTACGACAATCACGACGACATGGTAAGAGACGTGCGAAACTACACTTTCAACCACTCAGTTGATTCGCTCTCTCCTGATCATGACGTCGGGGACATACCAGTGATTGAGCTTCTCGAGCAAATCCGTGAGACAACCAATCGTGACCTTGGGATTAGTCCTGCAGGAACTCCTCCCACCGACGACGCGCTTAGGACTTCTGGTGTTACACCTACGGGAGGTAGCCCTGCCTTGCCTGGGGTAGTAAACTCTCCTGAAACGAATGACGGCGCGACTCCTCCTGGTACGTCACCTGGTCCTTCGCCACAAGGTTCATTGCCTTCTGGTCCTGCTACGTCTAGTGCAAAGACCATCCGCGAACTCCGTCGTATCTCCTACGCATTTACCGCGAAAGGGGAGTTCCTCGACGTAGCTCATAGGGACGGCCCCTTTGGTTCACGGAATACGCGTACGCTATGGGGGCGTCCCAACCGGATGTTTCACGAAAGATTGACGCGGCAAGGGCCATGCCGGACGGAGAACAGTGGGACGCAGCTGCAGAGATTGCGAGTCTCAAGGAACGTCAAGTTTACAAGCTCGTCCCGCGCACGGCATTTCCCCCAGGGAGGAAGCGGATAAAGTCCAAATGGGTGTTCAAGCGTAAGNCGACGTAGCTCATAGGGACGGCCCCTTTGGTTCACGGAATACGCGTACGCTATGGGGGCGTCCCAACCGGATGTTTCACGAAAGATTGACGCGGCAAGGGCCATGCCGGACGGAGAACAGTGGGACGCAGCTGCAGAGATTGCGAGTCTCAAGGAACGTCAAGTTTACAAGCTCGTCCCGCGCACGGCATTTCCCCCAGGGAGGAAGCGGATAAAGTCCAAATGGGTGTTCAAGCGTAAGACAGGCGGCTCCTTCAAGGGGCGTCTAGTGGCGCAAGGCTGGAACCAAGTGCCTGGACTGGACGGCGGCAGCACTTACGCTCCGGTGTGCAGGTTACAGCGCATTCGGATGTTAGCGTGCATAGCCGAGCAGTTCAACCTGCAGTTGGATCAAATGGACGTGTCCACAGCCTTCCCCTACGCTGACATCCTCGAGAACGTGTTCGTCGAACAGCCACCTGGCTTCGAGGTCAAGGACAAGGATGGAGGTGATCTAGTGATGCAGCTACAGAAGAGCCTCTACAGGCTGGCCAAAAACCCCAGCAATTGGTTCCACACCGTCGACCCTTCCCTTGTTGAAATAGGTTTCGTTCCGCTCAAGTCTGACACTGCATCTACCTGTACGACCACGACGATGTTCAAGTCTACCTGACGCTCTGCGTTGACGATCTCCTTTTAGCCGGTAACAACTCCAACGCCATCTCGATGATCAAAAAGAAGTTGAGACAAAGGTTCAAGATGACAGACATGGCAGAGGTGAAGCTTGTCTTGGGCATGGAAATTAAGAGGGACCGCATTCAAGGTACCCTGACGATTGCCCAGGAAGCGTATTCCAAGTCTGTCTATCTCAGAGAGGTTCGGAATGCAAACCTACCAGCACGCCTGGCTATGGTTCGGGTCTCTCCAACAAGCAACCAGAGGACACTCTGCTAGGCGAGGAGGAAACCAGACGTTATCAGGGCATCATGGGGTGCCTGATGTACATCGCTCAAGTGCTCCGCTACGACATCATGCACGCTACGGGCCCGCCCAATGGCGAAACCCAGCAAGGTCCACATGGTGGCAGCTACACACACTCTTTGTTATGTGGCCGAAACAACGGATTTTAGAATCACATACAAGAGTGAAGGCTTCAAGCTGGCGACCTTTTCGGACCCCAACTGGGCGAATAAAACCCGGACAATGGAAAGTCCACCTCTTGCCACTTGACGATGCTAGGAAATGCACCGGTGAGTATTAAGTCGGGGATACAAGGTCTAACTGCAGGGTCTACCATGGAGGCAGAGCTGATTGCATCGGCACTAGCCATGAAGGAAGCAGTGTTCTGTTCTAACATGCTAACTGAGCTAGGGTTCGGTAAGGAGTTTGCGCAAGTGCCGCTGTACTGCGACAACACGGCGACGCTTCACGCGCTGGAAAACCGCTCCTTCAGCTCGAGGACAAAACACATCGCACTTCGCTTCTTGTACATCCGAGAGCTAGTATCGGAAGGACGGATATCGATCCATTACATCCCGATAGAAGCAACCCTGCCGACATCGGGACAAAGCATCTTAACAAGAATCGGCTCAAACACCTGCTGGACATCATCAGCAGTTTCAACGTCAACGACTTCATCAGCAACAAGTTCAAGTAATCGTGTTTTTGTTTGTGTGTTTGTTACGAAGTATTTTTGCATCTGTTCTGTTTGTGATAATCAGCGTATCCTTTCGGTAGTCAGCATTCGGCCTCGCACAATCACTGGTTGAACGAGCCATGTAGGATTGAAAGTTATGGTGCTTTGGTTCATGGAAGGTTCAATAGCAGGTACTTTTTGCAAGCACATGAATACGTTGTTGCACGTGCAAAACATGAACTATCACGTGGTACGTTAGTTAGTGGTTGAAGCGCATGAAACGAATGAGTTACGTTACGTAGGAAACGAGTACTTGCTTGATTTGGTTTTCATCACTGTAGTTTGGTACAATTCAGAGCAACTTTCATTGAAGGGAAGTGTTTTGGAAATGTAAGCACATAGCCAGTATGAGTCAATGTGCTCTTGCACATCGTAGATCTCATATGTGTCGGTTCGAATGTCGGTTCGAATGTAACGTATACGTATGTGTATGCGGAGGAATTACTCTCGCCGGATTCTCTGCGCGGTGCTTGGTAGCCGAGTAACTCATGTGATCCTTCAGGATTGTGTTGGCCGCCTAGGCGCCAGTGTTCCAGTATCTCAACATCTTCATCACTCCGTGGAAGGAGTCTCGTCTTCCAGGCTACCCTCTCGCACGTGTCATCACCTCGACTAAGGTCGACGACACGGCCTCTGCACCACTGCTGTGCCAGGGTATTACATAATATCCATAATACTTTCGCCACCCACCCCGCTTCCTCCTCTATGGTTTCAGTTGCGAGGAGCAAGAGCAAGAAGATAAAGGAGCCCCCCGCCATAGCGTCAAACAGCCGGTTGGCGGTTTTCGCTTCAGAGGAGGACGAGAGCGAAGACGAGGGCGAGCATTAGGACTGAAAGATAACGTTACACCATTCGACTCACTAGTCTAGACTAAATGGTGTAACTTTGTCTAACAAAATATATGCTCAGAGCTCATTTGTACCCGGCTGGATCACATTTTTGGGTTCGTGAGTAGAGATCTCCGGGGATGGACCCCTCGCCAGACGCTGCATGAAAAGAACTTAATGGTGCTTGGGAAAGTGACCAGTCGGGTAATTGAACCCGTGCGTGGATCTTTTATCGCCATATGTTCAACCATTAGACAAGTCAGCGCTGACTAGTCTAATGGTGTCACTTTATCTAACAAAAGATATAAGCTCAGCTCATTAGCACCCGGCTGGGTCACTTGGGTTTATGGCTTATTGAGAGCAGGGATCTCCGGGGACGGACCCCTCGCCAGACGTTGCCTGAAAAGAACTTAATTAATGGTATTTTGGAAAGTGAGTTGCCGGGATTCGAACCCGTGCGTGAAGTATTTTTTGTCAAATGTTAAACCATTAGTTTCGTCATCTTTTATCGCCAAATCTTAAACGATTAGGTTAGTCAGCACCGCTTCACGCACGGGTTCAAAACCCGACTGATCACTTTCCCAAGCACCACTTANTTGCCTGAAAAGAACTTAATTAATGGTATTTTGGAAAGTGAGTTGCCGGGATTCGAACCCGTGCGTGAAGTATTTTTTGTCAAATGTTAAACCATTAGTTTCGTCATCTTTTATCGCCAAATCTTAAACGATTAGGTTAGTCAGCACCGCTTCACGCACGGGTTCAAAACCCGACTGATCACTTTCCCAAGCACCACTTAGTTCTTTTCAGGCAGACTGGCGAGGGGTCCGTCCCCGGAGATCTCTACTCACGAACCCAAAAATGTGATCCAGCCGGGTGCAAATGAGCTCTGAGCATATCTTTTGTAAGATAAAGTTACACCATTCTAATGGTGTAACTTTAATGGTGTAACTTTATCTAAGAAAAACGACCAGGGCAAGCGAGCAAAACGTAAGCTCACTTCTACAGTACGAACTACCCCAGTTCGATGCTCCCTCCTCCGTGAATAGGACCACCCTCTCTACCCTTGACGCACCCTTGGTGTTGTCGGTGAACGTCTTACGGATTCCGCCCCGTATTTCTTTGTAGGGTTACGAAGTTCGCTGCAGTCTATAGTGAAGGTGATCCAGTTGTCCGCGTTCGTCATTAAGATGTAAACTAAGATTCGCTCTCAGGGGTTGTTCGCGCACTCACTCTCCTCCACCCGTCTCCCGACACGTACCGATGCAGGAGGAAGCCCGCGGATACCGCGCCTGCCACGTCTCCCACCGGCAGGGGTCGAACACGCGGCAAGTCCCCAAGCCCGAGTCACCGCCGGGCCAACAATGAATACGAAGAGCGCTAATCCGACAGGGCAGTTGGCGGTGTTTCATCATACCGGGCTGCGCACAGAATGGGGGCTCGGGTGTGCACTTAGCGCAATTGCGTCGTGTGAGCGCTTGAAATTTTGAGGAGGCGAAGACATACAAATCTGTCCCTGTAGAAGTAGATCAGGCTATGGGCCGTTTTAAACAGACCGACTTTTTGTCAAAATCTTTGAAAGTGTCAAAAAAATGGAACCTGTATGTAGGCGTTTGTCCAT